CTGGAGCAATGGGAGGAGTCTCAGTCAGATGCTGCAGGGGCTGCAAATTAACCCTTCGTGGGCCAGGTCCCCAGTTGAGAAGCTCCAATGTAAACCAACATAAATTACACAGAATCCCAACACAAACATGACCAGGACAGCTGTTCAAGGAGATGCTATTACAATGCCTTGTCATTTGGTGAAGGGGAGCAGGTAACAGTGCTTGCCTACAGCAAACAGCTAACACAGAATAGCTCTTGACTTAGGACACTTACACCAGTGTAAACATTCATAAATCTACACCAGACTCAACTAAGTTAGGCCAGTAGGGCTCTATATCATGCGTCTATTGCTTCTTTAAGCTGCTTTCCACATCTGCAAAATGAGAATACTGCTACTGACTCTCAGGGCCCAGTGAGGTTTAATTCACAAATATCTAGGAGGTGCCACTGTAATTAGAACCATAGAAATGCTCAGAAGTGTTACCTGAGGCTGTCATTTGCGCCAACATGAGCAGGTAAAGTGAGGTGGCATCTAACTGCAAATGACCCCACTGGTCATCTCCAACCACAGTTGCGCAGGTGTGCGTGTTGTATTTAGCATGCAGGCTGTCCTTTGCACTCTGGCTGTATTTGAACGCCTCCACCTTGTTCATCTGGAGCAGGCCATTATAAAAGGAAAGTCCATTAGCTTCCATTCCACCCTGTCCAAGCTCCAGCAGCTGAGGGCAGGGTTGGAACAACAGAAATCTGTCACCATGTCACAGATCAACCCACCACACAGCCCTAGAAGCAGGTTATGAAGACACTTCAAAATAAACAGATTCGAGTTACAGGGTTTCTTGGAAGTGCTGCCTACTAGGAACTGCAGGGCTGGGACATGAGCAGTAACCTCACACTACTGCTAGAACAGCACCACATCTACAGTCAGGGCAAGACAGGCCCTTGAACCCAGAGGCCCCATGGAGGGGTTTCACAAGTGCATAAATTAATATGAGGGGCATGGATAACTTGAAGGAGACCCAAATTCATCATGTAAAACAGGGAGAACATGAGTACATGCCCGAGGCCCGATACAGAAAAGGCTGTTCTTTCCCACCCACTCATGCCTCACTCCACAGCAAGGTCCCAAGCACTGGGTATTAACTGTGGGTCTTGCCTGTGTTCTGGATTCCAGTGTCCCCAACCCACAAAGTGTAGGCACACTGGCTCCTTTATGCTGCTGTGATCATTAGGTTAAAAGCCAACACAGCTAGGACGAAGGGGAGGCATGATGCATTTCCTGCAGAACGCAATGGCTAAGTGAGACTGAAGTATGCCAGTCTCCAAATAGCCCAGTCAAGTCTTAATGTCACTCTCCCCCTACACAGCATGCACTGCTGTGGCACACACAGGGCAAACACTGCAACACTTGCACTTAAAATAATTCGGAAGGCAGGGGAGAGGGAACTATTGCTGTAATGTGTCTACCATGTTCCAAGAATGAGACAGCCTGGAGAGGGAAAGGCTCTAGACTCGTCCAAAGTAGCTATGGAACCAAGGAAGCAGCAGCCATCATTAGTGCTGGCACTTTCTGTGCATCTGGTTATGGCACAGCCCAGCCGGCAGTTATACTAGATGGAGAGGATCTAGAAAGTGGGGAGCAAGAGCACCCTCTCCTCAGCTAGAAAGAGTAAAGACTGTATACAGGACTGCTCCTGTCAGAGGCTGGCAACTGAAGCTACATGGGTCATGGGAAGCTGGAAAACAGCTGTCAAGCAGT